GCAGAGGGGTGTACTACCGCCGTCGCCGGGATTCTTTTTGAGGAAATTGGGGGAAATTGATTCTTCGCGCAGGGTTTTTGAGGAAAAAAAAAACCCTAACTCAGATTGTTCTAAAAAGTTGATCTGAGCTCATACAGTCGTACTGTGAGTGCCAAGGTAAGCCGGCTATGGAAATTGACAGAAATACCCCTATGCGATCTCACAATTTTTTAGGAATTTATTGTTCCAAAACAACTTATTCACAAGTCCATTTTGAATATAGTGTGTGAGTTAGAACTTTAGTATAAATTTATGATTATCTAAAAGTACTATTTTTTATATCATGAGATTGATTTGGTAACTTAAGCAAATAAGTTTTTTGAAAATGTAAGATTCACATTATTGGACATTTGAATATTTGATAATTCACCGGTGAAAAAAATGCAGTTGTTTTGAAGGTTTTGAAAACTTCAGCAGTATTTGTCGATGATCGAGTAATGATATAATAAAATAAACTGCCTTTGAGATAGAAGATGCGTATTTCAAACCGCCTAGACCTAACTTTTTCTATTAATTTGAAGTTGACAAATTCAAAAAATGGACATCCATATGAGCATACTTAGGGATTGGCAACTTGGCCTGGACCCAGTCCGGTTTGGCCTGACCTGCCCGTTACCAAAACGGGTCAGGTCGGACCATGGGAGTAGGGCCACGGGCCAGGTCCGAGCACAAAACTACCCAACCCGACCTAGCCCACTGCCATCCCTAAGTACTCGAAAAAAAAATCCTCATTGTCTATTTTCTAATAATGAAATTACTGTACAATCTGAGTGTATGCTCTGTCTTCTATCTAATTATGTACTCGGTTGTTTAAAATAAAATGAACATACATCAATATATTATTTTCCTTATATTTAGAGTATCAATGTATAATAGTTATTTTTTCATTTTTCATTAACCATGATCTATGTTATCTGACTGAAAAAGTTGAATAACAACACATCAGAACAAGTAGCAGATGGATAAAGTCCTCGAATAAATGAATCAGGAGCAATGAGTATATAGGGAATCACAAGAGAAGCACACAAGAAGTGAATAGCTGAACAGGCGCCAAATAGAAATTTGAAATTTCCAAACCTCATCCACATACAACAATTATGTTTCTCCCAACAAAAAAGATGAACAGAAATCACATTTTTTTGGAATAACTTGACAACAACACTCAGACACAGATCAAGCTTAAAAGTGTGTTAAGCTGATCAACTGAAGAAAAAAGGATACGACATGGAAGTTTGTCGTTATATTATCTGGGCAAAGAACTTGGAGGAAAATTACGCAACGGGTTCTCCCTCAGTAGCTCGGTTTCTCTGAAAATCAAATAAGACCCATATATTAGATATTCCGAAACTAAGAGTTGGCCATGCAAACAATTATCCAAAGCAACGACTGATTCTTTCTTACTTCTTAATATCTCGGCTCTCCCCAGGCCTGAGCTGCAGAGCGGAATACTTCTCCCCCTCGTTTTCTCGTTTATCTTGTCTACTAGATGCAATCAATATGATCATCAGCAATTTGTAAGCAAAAAAAAAAAAAAAATGTTTACTTTATTTGGCCACTTATTGTGTAGAATAAAACAAGAATGTTTTGAGATGGAGGAAAGGAATATGTTGAAAATTTTGTAAAGCATTTTTAATCATGTCAGGAAAAAAAAAAGAGAGAGAGAGAGAGAGAGAAGAAAATATGTACCTCGAGTCTTCTTCGTCATCCACAAAAATCTCAAGGCATGGGCCTGGAGGTGGTCTTCTTATGCTTTGACCGGGTTTCTGAGGAATCTGTACAAAGGAGAGTTCACTCAAATATAGGAAGGCATCAAGTCGCGAAGATTAACCAATAAAAAGGTTAATATTCAATGTTTTACCTTAGTTGATGTCCACTTTGAAGGAATTGCACTATTCTCTTTGTTTCTTTCTGCTCGGGCACCGAGTGAGTGCCATGGTTTTAAGTCGAACTTGGACATATCTTGGGGTCCATGATCCGCTAGTGAACTATTGCTGCTGTCTTTAAAAATGGACAATGCAGCTCCCGGAGCCCTAACAAAGATAAAATGCAAAAGATATAACACACCTCATCTCCATCGATATATATCTTGGCAAAAGACGAAAAATTTAGAAATTTACTATCTACTTCAATAAAATCAGTTGAGTTACTTGAGTACCTCAACTGATTGCTAATAATTTAACCCGCCTAGCTATAGCTTTTCCTAAATGATTCAAAGTATACTTCAATGGTGCATGTAAGTGCAGGGCCAAACTATGAAAAAAAAAAAAAAAAAAAATCTATCAACATGAAAATTGGAGCAGAGGATAAAGAACTCATACCACCCCCTGTCGAGTCATGCATAAATTCCCATCCAGTCTCAATCTAACAACCTCATACAAAAAATTCCCCACAGTGGCTAGAACGACACCATTAGTGAAGCTTTTCACGTTACTTTTATGGAGCCACCCATTAGAAAATTAAATTAATATGTCCCAATAATAAATAGCCATCTGACTTTATGTATCAAGGGGTAAAAAGAAGAAGCTTAAGAAGCTTGTATGCCATTGCCCGAAACTGAACAAGCAGATAGATGACATTGCATTATTTACAATAAAATATGCAAGGAGCTGTCATGGCCATCATTCATATTTATAAACTGTGATCATTGGAACTAGTTCAAATTTCAGAAAAGCTAGTAGCATCCAAGACTTCTGGACGTCGAAACCATGTTCTAACCTGTCTGTCTTTGGCTTTTTCCTAAAAATATCAGAACTCTCAGAAGGTTGGTTTCCTGCTATCACAAAGAAGTATTAGCCACTAAAAACACCACACAAGTCATCCTCAAAAAATTTAAAAGTTATGAAGTAAATGAACAGCTCACTTGTTTGCCTGGTCAAAACAGTCCCAAAGCTTCTAGCTGGTAAGTGGTTCTCTGTCACATCCTCCTGCTAAACAGCAATGATCACAGTATATTTATCAAGCCAAGCTAAAAGATAACAAAGCCCAAATGAAGAGTAATTTCTTACATCTGTGGCATTCAGTTGTCGCATTGAACGCGTAAGAAACTTCTTGTACGCTGTTGTTAACTTTTCAACTGGTTGAGCTTTCCTGGTATCCATAAAACACAGATCAATCAAGTTTCTTAGAAGAATTAATGAATAATTGAGTAAGTTTTTGCTTTAAAATAGCAGGGTTTGATGAATTGCTCAATGAAAAGATTTCTACTCATAGTGGAAAACTTACTTTACAACAAGTAACTAGAAAAAATATGAAGGTATCAATTCCTTCTATATATAGGGACATGGCGTGGACATCAAAGCAAACAATGCTTGAGTTATAGACGAAAATGTTTCTAACTACAACGTGTATTATAATTTACTCATCAACAAAATCAATTTTTATATTAAAAAAAAAAAGTGAAAAGAAAGGCGTTTATTAACTATATTCAGGCACATATATAGAGGGGCCATATGGCCCCTGAAAAACTCTATATATTGTCATCTCTATGACATGCATCATATTTACATGCAAGTGATAGAGTGGTCGTATTTGTTGTTTTGTTTGATTATCTATGATAGGCATATTCCTTGTCATTATTTTCAGAAAATTAAAAAGCATTAAAAATAGAGTCGGGATGAAAAATGGTGAGGCTGAGGTGCACATGAGGTCACACAACTCGTGTGATGTGTCCTTGAAGCCACACGAGTCATGTGGGGGAGAAAAATTTGGTTTTTCTTACGGCGTTTTTACACGACTCATGTGATATGTGGCCTTAACACACGAGTCATGTGACCCTGGGCAGCAGCGTATTTGAGAGAAAATGAGTCACACGACTTGTGTGACTTAAGGGTGAGGAATCGTGCAACTTATGGCTGACCCTTAATTGTAAAGGAGTAACTTATGGTTGACCTTTAATTGTAAAAGAGTAACTTATGGCTGACCATTAATTGTAAATATTCAGAGTTATGTTTTAGGAGTAAATAAGGCAGTAGACTAGGAGCTAGATTAGCAGGTTACTTAAGATAGATTGTACACAAATTTTTATTTAGTGAAAAAGAGCCTAAGGAAAAAAGCATTCAGTCAAAACTTGATATGGTATAAGAGCCACTTTTTTTTTTTTGGGAAATTTTCAGAGATTTTGGTTTTGGTTGATCAAATTTTTTGATTAACAACTTCGTTGGGGGTTTTGGGTCAATCACATTGTGGTTGAATATTTTTTTCTGGGAGAAGATAGAAGCTTTCTTCTAATTAAAATGTCTGTATTTTTTTTGCTGGGAGAAGATAGAAGCTTTCTTCTAATTAAAATGTCTGCTGCAGATCATGTCGGAAAACTGCATGCAGAAACATTGAGTTTCAAATTTACAGGGAAAAACTATGGTGCTTGGGGATTTCAGTTTAGAATGTTTCTGAAAAGAAAGGAACTCTGGAATCACATTGATGGAACATCTCCTCCTCCTAAAGAAGCTAGGGAACTCAGTCATGTTGGATATATTTTTATTTATTTATGATTAAAAATAACTATATATCAATAATAGCATTAACTTTTCTTGGTCAAACAAAACAAACAAATTAGCTGTTGCAAAGCAATATGTTTCCTTGGTTAAGCAATGTTGGTGGCAATTAATTACAAACGGTACAATTGTTATAATGCCACAAACGGTTCAATTTCTTCCTATAAATTGGTGTACATAGCCTCATTGTTTATACAACTGATTTACAAATTAATTCGGTGGCCTCCTATTTTATCTTATGATCTCGGCTTTATCAGCAAACATCAATATACACACATACATATATATATATTTATATATTCTGAGCTATATATATTTATATAGATACATTTTTGAGCACGAGTATTTTGTGGTTCGGGGTTCTCTTCGCTGCACACGAGAGTACCATCGGGTTGTCTAATCTTGGGAGAAGAACGTGTTATCAACTTACCGGTGCAGTGGGCGCGTTTCTTCTCTAAAGAGAGCGCTACGGCGTGCTTCGACCCAGGCTCTTCTAAACTCACTTCTTATTTTTATCTTTGGCTAATTGTTTGTTATTGAATTTGTTTCTTCCTAAATTATTAGAAATAAATCTCCACTTTTAGACTTAATATTTCCAACAATTTTAGAGAAGAAACGCTTATTTCTATTAATTTAGGATTTATTTTATTTTGTGTTCATCTACATTAAAACCTCAAGCCAATATGTTGACTGTGGGGGCTACCTCCGATCCCCATGCTAACATGTATTTTGTTAGCCCAGAGTTAAATTAAATTTTTAACTCAAATGATTGGTGGATTGACTATGGGGCTAATGTTCATGTGTGCGCTGATAAAAGTTATTTTTTATCATATCAAGTATCAGGCACAAGAAATGTAAGTATGGGGAATGGGAGTGTGGCTCGTGTCTTAGGAGAAGGCCAAATTAATTTAACATTGTCTTCGGGAAAAGTATTGTCTTTAGATGGTGTTTGTCATATTCCGAAAATTAGAAAAAATCTTATTAGTGCTTCTCTTTTAGTGAGAAATGGCTATAAAGTTGTTTTTGAGTCCAATAAAGTTGTGATTTCTAGACATGGTCTTTTTATTGATAAAGGGTTTATGTTAGATGGTTTATTTCGTTTAAGTGTATTGTCTAATTCCAATAATAATATTTCTAGTTCTTCTATGACTATTGCTAATGTTGAAAGTTGTGAAGCTTGGCATGGTAGACTTGGTCATGTGAATTATAATACAATAAAAAGGATGATGAATTTAGATCTCATTCCTAAGTTTTCTATTATCTCAAAAGAAAAATGTGAAATATGTGTGCAAGCTAAACAACCTAGAAAGCCTCATAGGCATGTAGAAAGAGATACTCAATTGCTTGGATTAATTCATAGTGATATATGTGAGAGTAACAATGTTTTGACTCGTGGTGGTAATCAATATTTCATAACTTTTATTGATGATTTTTCAAAATATTGTTATGTTTATTTGGTTCATTCTAAGAGTAAATTATTTGATAAATTCAAAGAGTATAAGGCAGAAGTTGAAAATCAACTTGAGAAGAAAATAAAAATTCTCTGGTCCGATCGAGGTGGTGAATATATTTCAAATGAAATTGATGATTTTTGTAAATTATATGGGATTGTGCATGAAGTTACACCGGCTTTTTCTCCTCAATCTAATGGTATTGCTGAAAGGAAAAATAGGACTTTGCTTGACATGTTAAATTCTATGTTACTTGATTCTGGTTTGCCGAAAAATTGTTGGGGTGAAGCTTTGCATGCTGCTTGTTTTATTCTCAATAGAATTCCTTATAAAAATACTGATAAAACTCCATATGAGTTGTGGAAAAATAAAAAACCATCTCTTAAATTTTTTAAAGTGTGGGGGTGCCTAGCTAAAGTTAATATTCCAATAAATAAGAAAAGGAAAATAGGCCCCAAAACTATTGATTGTGTTTTTGTTGGTTATTCTTCAAATAGTACTACTTATAGATTTTTTGTGTTTAATTCTGAAATTCCTGAAATTTCTAATAATACTATTATTGAGTCACGAGATGCTGTTTTCTTTGAAAATATTTTTCCTATGAAAGACAAAGTGTCAATACCAGTAAAAGCTAAATCTAGTTCTAATATTCCTATTAATTCTTGTTCTAATTTAGATGAAGAACATATTGAACCTAGAAGGAGTAAAAGGAGTAGAACATTAAAAACCTTTGGTGATGATTTTTATACTTTTTTGCTTGAAGATGATCCAAAAACTTATAATGATGCTATGTTATCTCTTGATGCACCTTTTTGGAAAGAAGTTGTGAATGATGAAATGAATTCTCTTATGACAAATAATTTTAACTGATCTTCCTCTTGGTTGTAAAACAATTGGTTGTAAGTGGATTTTGAAGAAAAAATTAAGAGTTGATGGTTCTATTGAAAAATACAAGGCTCGACTGGTTGTTCGAGGTTTTGAACAAAAAGCTGGTGTTGATTTTTTGAGACTTACTCTCCTGTGTCTAAAATTACTACCATTAGAATGTTGATTGCTATTGCTTCTGTTTATAAATTAGAAATACATCAAATGGATGTTAAAACTGCTTTCTTAAATGGAGATTTGGATGAAGAAATTTATATGAATCAACCGGAAGGTTTTGCTGTGCCTAGTAATGAAAAGAAAGTATGTAAGCTTGTTAAATCTCTTTACGGATTAAAACAAGCTCCAATGCAATGGCATGAAAAATTTGACAGTGTTATGATTTCTAATGGTTTTTATATTAATAATGGTGATAAGTGTGTTTATATTAAAATTGTCAATGATACTTGTGTGATTTTGTGCTTGTATGTTGATGATATCTTAATTTTTGGTAGTAATATTAATATTATAAATGAGACTAAATCATTCTTGTCTTCTCATTTTGACATGAAAGATCTTGGTCCTGTTGATGTAATTCTAGGAATTAGAGTATTTAGAGATGATAATTCTATTTCTTTATCTCAATCTCATTATATTGAAAAAATGATGAAAAAATATAACTATTTTGATGTAAGTCCGGTATCTACTCCTTATGATCCAACTGTTAAGTTGAGAAAAAATAATGGTGCTAGTATTTCTCAACAAAAGTATTCTCAAATTATTGGATCTTTATTGCATTTGATGAATCATACTAGACCTGATATTGCATATGTTGTTTGTAGATTAGCACGTTATACTCATAGTCCTAATTCGTCTCATTAGGATGCAATTGAAAGGTTATTTAAGTACTTAAAAGGGACTATGAATTATGTTATTAAGTTCACTGGTTTTTCTAATGTTGTAGAAGGCTATAGTGATGCAAATTGGATCACTGATTCTGAGGAAACGAAGTCTACCAGTGGTTATGTATTTACTTTAGCAGGTGGAGCAATATCATGGAAGTCTGCTAAACAAACTATAATTTCTCGATCGACAATGGAAGCAGAATTAATTGCTCTAGACGTCGCTTGCACGGAGGCTGAATGGCTTAAGAGTTTTCTAAATGATATTCCTTTATTACCTAAGCCTATTCCTCCTATTTCTTTACTTTGTGATAGTCAAGTTGCTATTGCTCGAGCTAAAAGTAAAAATTATAATGAAAAACGAAGGCATTTGACTGTTAGACATAAATCCATT